CCCGGTTATTTCCCTTGGAAACAATAGAACTGTCAGACTGATGGGACCGACAGTAAATAATTCCTATAGCTTTAGGGAGATAGGAGGCTCTTAGCAAGTCCATAATATGCTCTGAGTTGGTAATAGACCCTCCCTTCGCAGCAGTGAGAAGCCCGCGTGAGATAACAGGATATGAAAAGCATATTTAGAATCTGTGTAAACATTTAAAGATTGTCCCGCAGCTAACTGAAAGGCACGGGTGAGGGCTATCAGCTCAGCCTGCTGGTTGGTAGTATGAGCAGGGAGTGCCTTTGCCTCGACTATCTCTGTGTCCGACACTATGGCATAGCCTGCTCTGCGGGTCCCATCACATAGAAAGGAGCTGCCGTCCGTGTACCAGATGTGAGTAGCCTGGGACAGACTGCCCTCCTGTATATGTGAGGGGTGGGGCAGTAGGTCCTCTAGGACCTCAATGCAGGAATGGGATGGAGAATAACACCAGGTTGAGGTAGAAGATTTGAAATGTTGAGAGGTGGGCAGCACTGGAATGTGAGACTTGTATCTTCCACCAGCGCCACCTGAAGCGAAAGAACTCGAGAAGGAGGTAGGGTCTGTAGGCCTTTGTAAGTTAAGAGGTTAGACAGGTTATGATGAGAGAAAACCGTAGTAGGTGCTCCGAAGGTTAGCTTTTTTGACTCACGAATAAGAAATTCTGCAGCTGACAAAGCCCGTATGCAGGGTGCCCAGCCCCGAGTGGTGAGGTCCATCTTCTTTGACAGATAAGCTACAGGTGCAAAGGAAGGTCCCAGTTAATGGCCTAGAACTCCCAGGGCATAGCCCTCTCTTTCTGCTACATAAAGGGAAAAGGGACGAGTTAAATCCGGAAGATGGAGGACTGGGGCCTGGGTAAGGGCCTGTTGGAGTCTCCGGAAAGGTTTGGTGATGGGGTGAAGGAGGGGTTCATGCATAGAGCCGAGAGCTGCTTCATATAGGGGGCGGGCGAGGAGAGAGAATGAGGGAATCCAGGATCACAGGAAACCGGCCACTCCCAGGAATGACAGAACCTCTTCTTTGGTGGAAGGAACTGCAAGAGATTGAATTATTCTTTTTCTGCCTAAGGTGATAGCCTTTTGTGTTGGGGTTATGGTTAACCCCAAATACGTTACCTGGGTGGTGGACAATTGAGCCTTAGAAGGCGAGACTCTGTAGCCCTTTTTGGATAAAAAATTTAATAAGGTGGCGGTGTCAGTCCTGCTAGTCTCCAAAGAGGGGCTACATAGCAGGATGTCATCGACATAGAGTACCACTTTTGATTTAAGGAGGGACAGTGAGAGCAGATCAGAGGCCAGAGCCTGGCCAAAGAGGTGTGGGCTGTCCCGGAATCCCTGAGGGAGAACGGTCCAGGTTAGTTGTGTGGAGAAATTAGTATCAGGATCTGTCCAAGTGAAGGCAACGATGTTCTGAGACTGAGGGCTGAGAGGAATAGAGAAAAAGGCATCCTTTAGGTCTAAGACTGAGAAGTGGGAGGTCCCTGAATGAATGTTAGACAGAAGTGTGAGAGGATTAGGTACCACTGGGTGTAAAGGAACGACAGCAGAATTGATGAGCCGGAGGTCCTGAACCAAACGATAAGTTCCGTTAGATATTTTGACAGCCAGTATAGGAGTGTTAAAGGGGGATGAGGTGGGGCAAAGCAGCCCCTTCCTCAAGAGATCAGAGATTATAGGTTTTAGTCCTTTGAGGCTTTGGGAAGGAAGCGGGTACTGGGCTTGAGTGATATACCCAGTAGGGTTTTTTAACTGAATAACAACGGGGGGGGGGGGGGGTGGTGGCAACACCTGGGTTTTGGATATCCCACACGAGAGGGTCCACCTGGGAAGCTGGGAGGGGAAAAGGCATGTTAGTATCAGAGGGTCGCGGAGCCAGGAGAAGCAGTAGCTGTGTCACCGACGAATCTGAAATGAAACAGGTGGGGGGCGCAAAAGAAATGGAAGCTCCCAGCTTGGTCAGAAGATCCCTTCCCAAGAGTGGGACTGGACAGGTTGGTAGAACTAGGAATGAATGAGTGAGAAAGATACTTCTAAATATGCAATTGAGAGGTGGAGTTTGGAGAGGTAGATAAGGCTGTCCCCCTACCCCAACAATAGGGGAACTTGAGGGGGAGGTTGACCCCCCAAATTCCCTTAGAACCGAATATGTTGCTCTGGTGTCCAAGAGAAAAGAGATGAGGCGTCCCGACACTGTAAGAAGTACCCGCGGCTCCTGGTTGCAGATGGGCTTAGCAGTTGGGTTGTCGGTGGAGGAGCCTGGGAACCTTCAGTCTTCCAGAGCCAAACCCAATAGGTCAACCTGAGGGTCCTCTGGGGCGGCTGCCCCCACGTCATCGAACGCACGAGGGCTGTCTGTGGACCAATGACCCTCCCTGTGACACCTTGGGCAGGGGCCCCTTGGGTTGCGATGGGGATTGGGGCATGCCTTTGCCCAGTGACCTGTCTTACCACACTTGAAGCATGGGCCGGGGGGCGGGAGAGCCGCGCGCGGAGGCCGGGCAGTGGAGTCCATCACCTCGGCTGGCCTGGCGGGTGCGGTGATCACGTGGCAATGATTCCAGGCCTTGTCATTCCTCGCGTGGTGGTAGATCTTGAAGGCCATCTCCAGGATCTGTGCCTGTGGGGTTATGGGACCCTTCTCCAAATGTCTGAACTTTGCCTTTATGTCTGAGTAGCACTGGTTGACGAAGTGAGTCATCAGAAGCTGTCTGCCCTCCGTGGATTCTGGGTCCATGTTTGTGAATTGTAACATAGCTTTAGTAAGACAGTCAAGAAATGCAGAAGGATTTTCCTTAGTGTCCTGGAAAATTTCTGCAAGTTTAGAATAATTTACTGGTTTGAGAGCGGCCTTCCTTAATCCCACCAGGAGGCAGGTTAGGAATCAGTCTCTGGCCAGGATGCCCCCGGGGGAGCTGTAGTCCCAGTGGGGTTCCTGGTCGGGCACGGCCTCTGCGCCGGGTGGATAAGAAGGCTGAGTCTGATGCACTTCATCAGCATGCAGTCTCGCCTGCTCCCAGACCCGTCAGCATTCCTCAGGAAGCAAGTTGTTACAGAGAATCATATGAATATCATGGTAAGTTAGGTTGTAAGATTGGGTTAAATATTGAAACTCTTTTGTAAAATTAGTGGGGTCAGCTGTGTATGACCCTAGTAGCTTAGAAATATGTGAAAGTTCTGATAAGGCGAACGGAGCGTGGACCCTCATCAATCCCTCAGCGCCAGCTACTTCCCTTGAGGGCAGGATGGTAGCTGGTTTGAGTTGATCAGAGTCTGCTGTTGCAGCAGCGGTGGTGGCTCGCGAGCTCATGAGGGGAGGGGTGAAATTAGGCGCAAGGCAGCGGGTGGGGTTAGGGCCTGAGGGGGTTTTGGAAGACCGAGGCAGAGGGGTGGGGCGGGGAGGTGAGTCGGAAGATTCCGAAGACAGTCTCTGCCTTCTGTGACAGGATGAAATTGTTAGCTGCCTATGAGGTCATGTCTGGCGGCAGGAGAAGTCCGGTGAAGGTAGATCAGAAAGGCTGGGATATATGAGACGTGGGGAGTGAGATTTTTCGGGGGATTTAGAGGAACGGGAAGACAACCCAGAAGGATATTTATGCGGAACTCCTGGAGACCTAGGAATGGAGCGTTTAGAGGCATGGGGGGAAGGTGTAGGCGACTCCTTTTTGTACCTAAAAGAAACTTTTGAAGGGGGGAGATAGGGGATGTGGCCCCCGATTGGGCAGGGCGGGAAGGGGTGATCCCACGAGGTCGGGGGGGTGGGGGGTCGTCAGCGGGGTTCATGGTCGGAGCGGAGGGCTGGGAGCCCATGGCGGGAGTGGAGGGTTCCTGGATGGAGGGCAATGCAAAAAACATGTGAGCAGGTGAACAGTGAGATGAAGTAGATGGATCAGTCTTTAGGGCGATGTAGAAAAAGGCCATCACGTACATCAATTCTTTCCATTTAGCTGATCGGTGACAAAAATTGGCCAACTCCCGCAGAGTGTCAGGGTCAAACGACCCTTGGGAGGGCCAGTGGATAGAACCTGTAAATTGTACTTAGGCCAAGTTTTGGAACAAAGCCGTGTTAACTTAGATAGTTTTATGGAGGGGATGAGGGCGTGAGGCTCAAGAGCTTCCAGAAGCTGCCCGAGTGGGGAGGATGGGGGAACCGGCTTAGAATGTTTAGAGCCCATAGCTGAAGCACAGCCTGCCCACAAAAAGGTACCGGAGTACCACGAACACGGCGGCCACAAATACAGGTGTCCGAGTATTTGTGGGGTGTGTTATGGCTTAATTGGCCCGAGCCCAGCTACCGGACGGGGGAAAAAAGCCCCGGCTGGGAGGAGACAATTAAGCTTATCGGGGCTGACCGTACAGCCCAAAAAGGCACCGCAGTGGAGCGGTCCGGGAAGAGGACAGGAAAAAAAAAAAAGAAAAAGAGAGAAAAAGGCCAGAAGCACCAGACTCCCGGGCGCGGACTGAGGCAGGTTTCAGCTGAGGGCAAAAAGCCGGGGGTGGGAAGGGGAGTGAGGTTGGCGACCTTGCCCAGGACGCGCCAAAGAAAGCCGGCCGGACATTCTCTGAGCGCCCCGGGGGGAAGGAAGTCAACTTAGGTTAACTCACGGATCAGACGATGGTAGATGGCCTGGGCTAGCCAAGGTACTGCCTGGGTGTATCCTGCCAGCATAAAGCCTGAATGCTAATATTCGTACCCTTTTCTTATTATAAATGTGCGACAACTATAGGGGATAGCAGGTAGGACAGGGATAGATGTGCTGGGTTCTTAAGACTACTTCTTGCTGATATGTGGGAATTGAAATCTTGGGGGACATCAAAATTTAGTCCGTTTATAGCCCTGTGTTTTGTTTCCATGCAACTCTGGTGGGTAAACACTTGGAGTCCAACATTTCCTGAAGCAGGTAATACAAGGACAATTCCCTGGCTCTGTCCCAACTCAATCCCTCATTTCTATCATTTGCTTTCTGTCTTCAGGTATTCAGGAGACTTTTCTGCCATCTCTCCACCTACACCCTGATTTGGGCCATGGTGCTGGCCACAGATCAAGGTAAAGTAAAATGTAGAAAATAGTGACTCTCAGAGGTGCATAAGCTTAATTTTTCCTGTTCAAAACACAAGCTCACACCACTCTCTCTGAATTTCCTAATTTTTCTGGTTATTGAAAGAAGGCCATTGCTCACAGTATGCTGGCTTTGCTATTGTTAGTAGTCACTTTTCATATGATGTTGTTCATCATTAGCCTCCTGAGGAAGGCACTGCCCACAATGGATTGGTAGGCTTCATACCCACCCACAGTCCTGACACACTTTGCCCATTACAGCATTTACTTACTTTGTGGCAGAATTGAAAAGGATTCCAAACAAGCACCAAAGAATTGCTAAATTTCCCACTAAGAGAGATCCTGTATATTCATGCTTACCCATATGATCAATTCCCATTTTTATCATCTTCCCATCTTGCTTTCTAAAAGAAATACCTTTGTTTTTCCCCTAATGTGTTCTGTAAGATCTCCAAAAGTTTTTAGGCAACATCAACCTACATTCCAAAACTTCCCTTAGCTTTGAGAGATTCTCATCATCAAATTACCAGCTAGATAAAACTTAGTCCAGGGTATCTTGGTTGCTATTCCCTCATTTGTTCTCCAATACTCTAGGAAATATTTGTATGGCCTTCTTCTTCCTGCTTATAATTGTTAGTATTTCTTCTGTTTGGTTATACTTAAAGAACAAAGTTTATTGTTTTTCTGTACGTCTATATGTTGGCTATCATTTTAGTATTTAAGTCCCTGCTGTTGTCTGATGTGGAAAGGAAGAGGTTTGTAAGGAGGCATCTATTCATTTTTGTTGTAATAGGGGCTGCGGGCCACTTCCTGCCACCCTGTTAGCTTTACCCGAAATAATTACATGGAAACTGTATTCTTTTAAACATTGCCTGGCCCATTAGTTCCAGCCTCTTCTTGGCTAGCCCTTTCATATTGACCTAACCCATTTCTAATAATCTGTGTAGCCCACAAGCTGGTAGCCCACAAGCTAGCTTACCATGAATCATCTTAACCTGCATCTGCCTGGAATGGGAGAATCAGGGTGACTCACTGACTCAGCTTCTTTCTCCCAACATTCTGTTCTGTTTACTCCGCCTACCTAATTTTCTGTCCTATTAAAGGGCCAGGGAAGTCTCTTTATTTAACCAATGAAATTAACACAAAACAGAAGACTCTCCCCCATCACATATTCAATCTCTTTGGTTCCCAATAAATGTAGTTAGTATTAGTATTAAATCTCTCCATCAGAGAAATGCTTATCAAGTATTACAGATGCTCAATGCATTACATTTACGTTACCATTTGATTATGATGATTTATGAATCTTGCTATGAGTTCAGCTGTAATTGTAGTTTAAAAGGTTTGTGGGAATTTCTCTTCTATTATAATGTAGATAGTGTTCAGAAAGAGTAAAATTTTAAGACGAATTTCAAGTTCAGTTTGGAAATATATTTTATATGTGGTTTAAAAAGCTTATTCATTCTCTCACTTACTAGTGTACATATCAGAGAAATATATATATATATAAACATATGATGGATTTATAAATCTAGTATATTCAAATAAAATATAAAACCACACATAAACATATTTTCAAATTTTCTATATAATACTTGAATTTTTGCCTTAATAGTTTAATATTATGGAATTGAGGGTTCTGAGAGATATACAGAAAACTCTATTTTTTTTCAAGACAGGGTTTCTCTGTAGATTTGAAGCCTGCCCTCTTATAGACTAGGTTAGACTCGAACTCGCAGATATTAGCCTGCCTCTGCCTCCTGAGTGTTGGGATTAAAGTCATGTGCCACCACTATCTAGCAGAAATCTCTAATATTATGACTGTGAATTTATAAGTTGCTATGATAGTTACATAAGCGTTTGCTTTATATATTTCAGTGTTAGGTTGTCAAGTATATGAGGTTTTATTATTAGTATGTTTTCTCATGTTGGATTGCTTCCCTCATCATTTTATAGTTCTTTGGCTTTTCCATATGAAAAGTGCGAATGGATTAATGTTAAAATGCTTACGTCTATTCTTTGAGTTTTTCTTTAATCCTTTGCCTATATATATCCCTATGTGTGGCATTCTGGGGGAATGTCATGGCCTGGCCTTCTGGCCTACTAATTCCTTATTCAGTATTAGCCATTCTACTAATTTAAACCCTTTTTTGAAATTTTGTGTTTTCTATTCTTCACATCTCTAATTTCTACCATTTACAATTTTACTATTTTTTTTTACTCACCCATGTCCATGCCAAAATGCTTGTTGATTTATGATTCCTGGATCTATTTGTTGTGAGTCCTTGGATATAGTATTTATTATTCCTTTTTAATAGTATTCCTTCTCTCAAATGTTTAGTAATTTGCTATTGGTTATTTGTTATTACATGGATACTAATCCATTAAGTCACCTGTCATATATAAGTGACCTGCATTGCAGAGAAGAAATTATCGCCATAACATCTAATGAAAATAGAGAACATGTAGATTATTAGTTGAGTGTCAAAACTTCTTGATCATATGAAGTCTTCCACAGCATCATCTTGTACATCACTTTCCTTGTATGTTTTCTCAGTCTTGGTTTCCAGAGCCTGAGTTCACTGTGGTGCTCCCTCCCTCTCTGTGGTGTGTGTGAGTGTGTGTGTGTGTGTGTGTGTGTGTGTGTGTGTGAGAGAGAGAGAGAGAGAGAGAGAGAGAGAGAGAGAGAGAGAGAGAGAGTTTTCTGGTTATAAAACATTTTGGGAGTATAATTAAATTAATATATGCTTATTATTAACATTATGATATATGTGTAAGTAAACAGTAAAATGAATCACTGCCCATGAATCTCATCCAGTGGCTTTTCTATGCTCTCTTTATACTGATGAACTCATTCTCTTGTAAGGATGCTGCATGCTACTTTCTCTCTGTTACTCTACAGGACTAGTTAGCATTAACTAGACCAGTAAACAATGTTCACAGGGACTGGATCACATGAGCATGAACTTCACAATCAGGCTGCATGGATCCCAGATGTAGTTTGCAAATGTATAAAAAGTCTGGTATCCACAAGCAAAAGAAAACTTGACACTTCTCTTTCTGAGGCTGGCTTATTTTTGATTATATGTTGATGGTCAGTTTCATCCATCTTTGAACAAAGTTATTCTTTTTTAGTTTTTAATGTCATTCTTTATGAATAATTGATATGCTATTTTGAATATATTCCACATTTTCCTTATTCATTCTTCTGTCGATGGGTACCCAGGCTGATTTTATAAGTTGGTTTTGTAATGATACTATAATATACAGTGGATGTGCAAGTATTCCTATGGGAAATTGACTTATAATTCTTTCTGTGATGGGTGTGCCAGTTTGCAGTCCACAAACTATGTTTAAAAATATGTGTTTCCCTGCATAATTGTCATGATTCATTATTATTTGATGTCATTTCAACAGGTGAGATGGCATCTCAACGTTGTTTTAATTTTCTCTTCCCTGAAGGCTAAGGATGTTGAGCATTTTTAATGTGTTTATGGATATTTGTACTTCATCTTTTAAAAATTTTATTCATTCTCCTGAAGTTTAAACAACATGCTTTGAACATATTAACCAAATTCCTAACTCCTGACCTTTCCTTTATACATCCTGTGTTCTATTTTTTGTTGTTTATTGTTTCTGTTATTTGGTTGTTTGCTAGATTGGTTGATTTGTGGACTGGGATATTTGGTTTAGTTTTGTTATTTTTGTTATTGTTGTTGCTTATATGGTTTAGTATAAAGGAGAGTAATGTGAATATACATGTATTTGAAATGCAGGTTGAATACAGACACCAATGCATAGTAAGCAAGGACATTCACATTGTTCAGAGAAGATCATCACCAGATCCAATGTCTGGGTTCCATTTCCCTATCAATAGTTTATTAGGGGTAATAATATTTACTTCTGTTTGGGTATTTGATAGATATTAATGATCTTTTTACTCAATCTCACTCTCTGGTGTTGCTACTGCTTGTGTGCACATATGATAAGACAAGCACATTAGCAAGACTCATGACGACTCTCATAAGAACATGAACTGGAATTTTCTTCGAAAAGATTTTCCAGAGACCTTGTATAAAGCATGAGATGGCTATGAAGTACGGGATGTTATTGGGAAAAATATCCCTATATCCTCAGGGGCAAGCAATAGAATCCAGGGACTCCAAGGTACTGCCTTGAAAAAAGAATTTTCTGCCCTTTCACAGTGGTGGACAACACTTAAAACTTCCCAATGATTACTATGTGTTCTGGCATATCCTGATGAGAAATTTTATCTATATGTACACACACATATATAACAAATATGATGTATATCTGTATCATTGATATCTATATAATCTACATTTGTATATCCTTTTATATACATATCATCTCCATCTATATCTATATCTATATCTATATCTATATCTATATCTATATCTATATCTATATCTATATCTATATCTATATCTATATCTAGCTATAGCCAGTCAGACTGATGTTGTAAATATCCAAGAAAGGCCAATATACCCTTGAATTAAACTCCTAAGAATAAAGCTATTTCCCATCTCATACTTTTTAAATTAACAGTCCATCTACCCATCAAGTTAAGGATCCACTTCATTGTGCCACTCAGCTCCTCACTTCTCCTAGAAACCCCAGAAAAGATTTCATGGTTCTCCAATACACGTGCTCTTGGCCAGATCTCTTTCTATGGGTGCACTCTGTGTTTTACTGTAATTTTAATAAATCTACACTTTTCTTATCAATAAGTTACTGCTTTTTTCTATTTCTTGTTCAGTTATTTGCCCCAAGTACAAAGAACCTGGGATTCCATCATAGAAGAGCCCTAACATACCCTCTAGTAACATATATTTATAAACTTTCTGGAGGAGAGAATAGCAAGAAAATTGAAAATTTTGCAAAGAAGAATAATACAAAAAATAATTTGAATAAATTTTTCTGAGAATTTTATATATGAACACTGCATAATTTTTCCTTACCTCTCC